GGCAAGCGATCCGCCTGAAATAAAATTTTGAAATACATGTGTATGCGTAATGCTTAGGCCAACCTTTGTGCATGTTTCAACAAATCACAGCAATGAAGCACTGAGGACGGAGGATGGGAAAAGGGCCGAGAAAAGACGGTCGGTATTTTTTCAATGGTTCTCAAAATGCGACCAAAATGCCTTTGTGAGAGTGTGAGAAACGAGACAAGGTCCAGTTGTGGCGCTAACTAAAGATGAATACAGCTTAATTTAAACAAAACGTCTTAATTCCGGCTAAATTATTGATGCTACATGCATAAATCTTTAAAATGCCCAATTTACTTCATCACTGCCTAAAGTTTACTCGCAGAACAGCATTAATAATGTTGCTTCGGGCCAAACTACAGTGGTGTGAGTTCTACAAAAGTGGTACAGCCAATTACACAAAGTAATAACATTGGTTCGATAAAGTCAAATAGTAGAACAGAAGCATATGACTTGAATGTCATGTAAGAAGATATTTTACGATGCACCCATTTGTGTTTCATCCCTTAGAGAATGAACTATGGGTGTGGGTAGTAGTAGAAATTATCAGTACAGCCTCCCTCTACACGTCATATACTGAACAGTCATGTAACTAATTTGCAAGAGAGATATGTGAAAAGAGAAAAAAATTAATTTAAAGCTAAAAAATGCCGCTGGTTTGAGAAAATATGAAAAAATCAATGCAAATTTTTCGAGTAAATTTTTGAGTAGAGAATTTTTGAGTAAATAAGTAAATCAATGTAAGCTTTGGCAGACGAGTAAATCAATATGACAGGGAGTTTGTTCCGAGAATATTTTTTAGCTGAACAAACAAAAAAATCACCATATTGCTTTAAATAATAATTTTCGATGAGAAACTGGAGTGCTGCGTAGACCTCATCGTGCCATTCCCACAACCATTTGAAGAACGAACGATCTGATTCGTACAACCACTGAAAAATAATATTAAAAAAAGAACTTGATAAAAGATGCAAAAAAAAAAACCAAATTGCTTTGAAAGACAATTTTTACAATTTCAGCCCAGAGCAAAAACCCCAACTCCCAGAAAATGATAGTCTTTTTGTACTTCTGCGAAAACAAGATAAACTTTTTCGGGAATAACTCGATGCTAGCCAAAAGCGATCATCTACTGAAAAGGCTGCCGATAACTCCCCTCC